AGCGGGATGGTGGCAACTTTACAAGCTGACGCCGCGCTCCTCCCGCTGCTTCTTCGGCTCCTTCACGATGACTGTTGCGCCCTGGCTATGGGCGGATGACACCTTCAACTGCTGCTGCTGCACAGGAGACGTGGAGGCAACCATGCGACGGGCAACACACGGCGGGCGCGAAGGGCACAAAGCTGGACTACCGGGGTTCATCCAGGCAGCGAGGAGCAGCATTCCGAATTCAAAACTTCAAAAACAAACTTACTTCAGCTGCCCCCCCTTTTTTTTCCCGAGGCCCTGCGCGGCCTCAAAATGTTGTTGTTGTTGTTTTTTGTTTTGTGGCGCGACATCCCAGCTGGGCCTAGAACACCCCTCGGCAACTTTTTTTTTTTTTGGTCGAACCCCTATTTTCGGGGTGTGCCGCACCCCGTGCGCGCGCGTCGTGCGCGTGCGTGGTACGGTGCACGTGCGGGGTGCAGCGCATGTCGATGCGCCGCAAGTATGCTTTAATTCAATTTCATTTTTTACCTTTGAAATTATGTCTTAATCCTTACCGTAAGTTTCTTCTTTGATCTATTTTTGACTTATGACATGTCATCTTATCTGTAACCCTGATATTCAATTCTTAGTTGATTTTCTGATGTAGAGGGTCGAAAATCGAAGTTTAACTCCGGTGTCTAATTAGTCATTCCTAAGGACTATCCTTGTAATAATAGGGTGAAGCTCTGAAATTTGGACTTAACCCTGATGTCTAAATAGTCATTTCTAGGCATGACTCTGATTCTTGATTTCGAAGTCTATAAAGTTATGACTGGTCAATTGCAATCTTTTGATTTCCTAAGCGGTAACCCTTAAAAGCTATAATTCCGGATTTTTTTCTGACTGATATTCGGAATTCAGAATCGGAAGTCCATTTGGACATCTTAATTAGAAATTCCATAAGTATTCTAGTCTGTATTTTGTTTAAAAAATGTTGTGATTCCTACGGCCTAAATCTTGTCGATTTTCTAGGGTTTTCTGTGGCGAGATAGTTTGTTTTTCAAAATTTGACCTATTTCTTTTCGTCGGAGTTTCGTCAGAATTTTGAACAGGGGCCCCATGGGATGGTCAAGTGGAGCATCTTGTAGAGTCTTGGGGGATTTGTTTTGAGGTAGGGAGCAAAGGGCATCAAATGATTCTTCGCAAGGACGGAGAGGGGATGGAATAAGGCTTTCCAACGGGTACCGGCTAGGGGGAGCTCTTATCAGATGCGATTGGAGTTGGGTAGTTTCGGCTGTCCAATGGGTACTGGCTGATGAGGGTGAGCCTTGGCGCGATTGGCATTGGGTAGTGTTGTTTCACCCCTTTGAGGACGGAGACTGGAATTCTTGTGGGGGCAAGGAATTTCAGGGTGATGATGGTGGCCCCCCCCCTGCTGAGATGAGGGTCTCTGGACTCTTTACGGCGACGGAGTTTGGGGGGACGAATGAGGTTCTTCCTTTCGATGATGGAGGCAGGATTGTTCGGGTTGTCTGTTTCTGAGGTTGCCTGTTTTCCTGAATTTGTCCAATTCTCGTTAGAGTTTCGTTAGGGTCTTAACAAGGGCCCCATGGGATAGTCAAGTGAAGTATGTTGTAGGGTTTTGGGGGATTTGTTTTGAAGAAGGGGGAAGGGGCATGGAATGATTCTTTGCAAGGACAGAGAGGGGGGATGGAATAGGGCTGCTTGACGGGTATCGGCTAGGGGAAGCTCTTATCAGATGCGACTGGCGTTGGGTAGTTTAGGGTGTCCGATGGGTACCGGCTGATGAGGGCGAGCTCTGGCGCGATTGGCGTTGGGTAGCGCTAGTTCACCCCTTTGAGGACGGAGACTGGAGTTCTTGTGGGGGCAATGAACTTCGGGGTGATGATTGTGCTCACCCCCTTCTGAGAAGCAATCCTCTGAAATTCTTTACGAGGACGGAGTTAGGAAGGACGGCTGGGATGGAGGGAGTTGGGGTGGGTGCGATTGGCGCCAAGTATCTTGGCGGGTACCGGCCACTTGCTACTAACTCCACCTGGAACAACTGGAGGTTTTTCCTTTCGATGATGGAGGCGGGATCTTTTGGGTTGACTGCTCCAGGGGTTGCNTTGCTACTAACTCCACCTGGAACAACTGGAGGTTTTTCCTTTCGATGATGGAGGCGGGATCTTTTGGGTTGACTGCTCCAGGGGTTGCATGTTTCCATATTTTCCAAATTTGGCCTATTATCAAAGGGCGTCCCTGCTCAGTTAATCCCCTGGTTTTCGGGGCATCAATGCTGGCAGGGGGAGGTCTTCTTAATTTTTTCTCCAAAAAGAGGTGAGTGGGAGAAGTAGATGGTTGGATATCAAGCGTCCTACTAGTGAGGGGGCTAGCTCGTAGGACGGAAATAGGGTACAACAGCAGCGGAGATGGTGGCTCTGCTGCAGTAAGTCTTGCTGGAGTGAGGTAAAGAGGATTGATGGGGGGTTTCTGAGTCGTTTTCTGAACTTTGCTTATTCCTGAAGTTCGTCGTAGTAATTTGCTAAGTAGCTCAATTTTTTCTTATCCAAAGCCGGGTAATGGCCCCGGTATCTCAAATTTTCAAACTTCTATGTAAATTTCCATATGGGACACTGGGCCCGGTTCCCAGCACGCGCTGCTCCCCACGAATAGATTGTAGCCTTGTTCCAATTAAAAAAAAAAAAAAAAAAAAAGAATGGAGAGGGCCTGGGGGGGTGGGTATCTTGGCTCAGACGTGAGTATGGGGTTACTTGCAGAACTCTGGTTTCCGTGCAGTTTTCTAGCGCGCTGTGACTGTGTTTGAAAATGTCCCTCTATTGCGTGAGAGCAACGCCTTCTTATTCACAGACTATTTATTCAGCAGTAAGTCCCAGTTCTTGAAGTGGATGATGCCCTTATCGATTTCCGCAAATCATTCTTGCCGAGCCAGATTCTTTCAAAGTTTCTCTGACTCGTTTCTCTCTTTTCTGGTTGCGAGATTTTCTGTTGCGCTTTTTGTTCTCTGTTCCATTGGGCTCTTATCTCTGTTTGAATTATGGTTTTGGTTTCAGTCCACTTCTCATCTACGCTGGTATTTTGACTCGCCAAGGTACCCTTGCACCTTGCTTTCCAGATTACCCAAAGGGTCGCTCTCCTCAGAAGGTCTGCTAGAATAATTTCTTCCTCTTCAAGATCTTCTTCTTCTATCCTCCCTGACAGCAAGTAAGTTATTGGCACTCACCCGGACAAGTGGAGGAAGCTGATTGTGATCACCAACCAGGACAAACTTCTCACAGCAGCGTAATGGTCCCAAACACACCTGCAAAGACCAACCGGGGACAGAAATGAGGCACCTGCTGGGCATCAATGAAGTTCCGGGAATGCCTTTACACTTACTGATGAAGGGGAAGGGTTAGATCCTCTTCCTGAAACAAGTTATTTGCAAAAAGCTACAAGGATAAGAGCGAGAACAACAATGAGAACAAATGTCGAGCAATGTCCCTACAAGGATAACAGAGAGAACCAGTTCTTTCCAAATGTCCATGCTTTGAAGCAGTGAACCATTGATATCCAATTAGAGAGGCAAATCAAGTCACATGCCTGAGCAAATGCAAAACACAAAGGCACATCATCGCTTACCGGCAACATAATTTGACTGGCTTCGTCGACGATACACACGTCAAAAGTCCTTTTCAAAAACATTGGATGGGAAATTCCAAGGCACGTCACTCCCACGACCCGCGCCTCTTGAACGGTCTCCGCCATTCTTCTCACAGATTTGATTTCTCTCCCTGCCATGGAAAACATGCCATCAGGCAACGTTCTCTCTTTACGAAAACAAACCTCAAAAGAAAAAAGGAAGAAAAAGCTCCTCACAATGTTCACAACAAGCAACTAATGTTCTCTGTTGGACTCCCCTTTCCCAATACTTCACAATTTCTCAGTCTGTGCATCTCACCATCTGCAGGGGGCTTGTTGACCCGCTGCATGTCATTCCAGTTTCCAACTTTTAGTTGATTTATGCTACGTTGCCACTTGTACGCACCCTCGTACGAGTACGAGTCGTACTCCTGTACTCGTATGCTACTCGTACGAGGTTTTTTTTTTTTAATCCGGTATTTTTTTTCTTCTCAAATTAAAATAAGAATCTGCAGATGATGCTCAGCCAAATGTTGCTTGTCTTGTGCTGTTGCAACACTTTTTTTTTTTCGGATTTTTTTGATTTTTTTTTTTTTTTCCGTATGGGGGCATACAAGACGTACAGGTTCCCGCACACTGATTGTATTGACGGATTTCTTCCTGAAGTAAGTACCAGCACAGATCACGCACATGTTTGGATGGTCCATATGCATTCTGACAGGGCAGCAATGTCCTTTCATATTACCCCAGACATGTTTCGGGTATTCATACTTGCGGCGCATCGAGGTGCGCTGCACCGGGCACACGCGCCGCACTGCGCACAGCGCACGACGCGCGCGCACGGGGTGCGGCGCACCCCGAAAATAAAGGGTCAAGGGAAAAACAAAAAGTTGGGGAGGGTTTTTTTAGAAACCCGAGTGGGATGTCGCGTCATAAACTACAAAAAAATATTAACAGAAATTGGAGGCCGCGCGGGGCCTCCGAAAAAAAAAGGGGGAAGTTCGTTTTTTTGTTTGCGTGTGTGTGTGTGTGTGTGTGTGTGTGTGTGTGTGTGTTTGTGTGTGTTGTTTGTGTGTGTGTGTGTGTGTG